AGAGAGAGAGAGAGAGAGAGAGAGAGAGAGAGAGAGAGAGAGAGAGAGAGAAAGAGAAAGAGCAAGCAAGCAAGGAACCCGACGCGACGGCTTCACAAAAGGTGAACCCACTTCGTGGATCTGTCGGTCGGCGGTGGCGGTGGCGGCAGAGCTATGTTCGCTTGCGGAAGGCGGGAGGCGGCCGGAGTACTCTGTAGGTAGGTAGAGAGATATATCGAAGCTCTCTCGGGTGTATTCGGGTAGATTCGTGTGCTCTCGTCGACTGGTGGTGGCCGCCGCGCGCCGCGCACCTCCGCCAAGAGTTTCACGCTGCGTGGAACGAAACTCGTACGTACGCGATCAGCTCGACCGAGGCCGCCGGCCTTCCTCTGCGTATCGGGCCCCGCTGCGTGTTTCGCGCCGGCCGACAGCTTCTCTCGTCGCCTTCGTGATAAAATCGGGCGGCTGCTCGCGACGACAACGACAACGACAACGGCGACGGCGACGGCGACGACGGCAACGACAACGACGACGTTGACGACGGTCCGTTGGTGCTCTATACGTGTCCTGTGTGCGAGCCAGCGGAAAGCGCACGCAGCAAACGCGCACGCATACCGCACGCATACCGGCTCGCACGCGCTTACATCGCGCGGAGGCGCGAAATCGTCCCGGTCCGATACTCGACGTGGTTCCGTGCGGGAGACTCACGATGCGTTCTCGAGGCAGTGTACCGTAAAGAGTTCTCGCAGCTACGGCGACGACGGCGGCGGTAGCGGCAAGAAAACGCGCCAATCGCGCGTCCGGTGTTCGCGTGGTGCTTCACGCTCGGCGGTTTGTCGCACAAGAGGAGAGGGAGGACGGAGGAAGCGGGGGAGGAGGAGGAGGAGGAGGAGGAGGAAGAGGAGGAGGAAGAGGAGGAGGAGGAGGAGGAGGAAGTAGTGGAGGAGGAGAAGGAAGGGAAGGTGGTGGGCAAGCGAGGGTGGTAGCGACGGGAGAGAGGAGTGACGCGTGGGTGACCGCATGAGAAATCGGGAGCTCTCGGTGAAGTGACATTTGTTTTCGCTTCTCTCACAATCGCATCGTCTCGAGAAGGACTGTTGCTTCTCCTCTCCCCTTTTGCGCGGACGCCCGCCTTGTGATTCGACTCGAGCGACGAATGACGAATTCGGTAAGGGCCAGGTATAACGATCCTGGCTCGTCAGGGAAAATCGGAGTTGTAGGCGGGGCCTAGGGTCGGTGGACACGTGACACGGAAACTGTCACGCCGCCCTTGCCCTCCCTTCGTTCACCCCCCTCCATGCGACCGAAATCCAGCGCGACCGACCCACGCTTCTACTGTGGGTGAACGTGTCGTTCACGAACGGACGACGCCCGTTCTCCAAGAGAAAAAGAGAGAGAGAGAGAGAGAGAGAGAGAGAGAGAGAGAGAGAGACTCGCACGTGTGTGTGTGTATGTATGCACGAAAGGTTTCCACGCGGAATTACACTGGGAAATCCCACGATGTGGGACTAAGATGATCACGAATGCTCCGGAGGATTATATGTCAGCTATGCGTTTACAGCGTGCATCGAATGCGTTCCTCGTGTCGAATACGACGCTCTGACGGAATTCTCGGACCGTGCGACGCGATACTCTCACAGTAGCGGAGAATGCTCCTGTTATTGGTTCTCTGTCGATTCGCGGAAAGGCCGAGCCATTCCGGGATTTAGGTAAACTTCTGCAATTAAATAATGCGCATCCAATTTCACTATCGCTCGTTGTTTCCACTGTGTTTTCCGTCTCGCCTTGTTCTCACAATACCACTACAGCTAATCGACGATCTTATCAATCGCTGACAATTGCAACCCGACGATTGTACAAGCAATTCGCAGGGCGATGATGCCGTCGTGGTCGTACAAGAAACACCACTGCGGTGTCGAATCGGTGTGAACCTCCCGAGAATGCAGCAGGCCAGTGTAGGTGGCTGCAACGAGGACTCCGACACAACGAGTCCCCTGGCGAGATCGCCGATTGGTTTTGCCATCAAGAGCGAGCCCGGCATAGACAGGAACAACGGTGTAAGGGTTAAAGTCGAGATGCCCGAGCCCACGGAGGCCGGCGTCGAGATCAAAGGTGAGCCCCGGGAGGATTATCAGCAGCAGCAGCTGAGCAACGACGGTTATCACTACGGCGACAAGAAGCCGGGATACATTCTAGACGTCCACGGACAACCGCCACCGCCACCGCTGCATCATCAGGGATACCGTCCCGTCGGGCTGCCTAACTCTTTCGGCTTCCCTCCTTTTTACGGGCACCATCATCCGGCGATGATGCCGCCGTTTCCAACCGGACGCCCGTCGTCGGACGGCCCGATCGGCAAAATCGGCGACGTCCACGAACAGACGACGTCGTCGCACGTTGATCGACATGCGGTTGCCGCCGCTTACGGTAGATTGCCACCGATTCCCAACGACGGCTTCCTGCACGAACCCCATCATCACCGCTTCGACGCTGCCGACTTCCAGCACGGTGTACCGTATCCGGGCTTCCGGCCCGCCATACGTTCTTATGGCAATCATCAACAGAACAACAGCGCCTACAGCAGAAGCAATCACTATCACCAGGCTAGACAGCGCAAATGGAGCAGCTCCGCATTTCGTCTTCATCCACCGATGCCCGTGAGTTTCTTCCCTTTTCCTGTTTTTTCCTTCATCGAAAGATCACAAGAAATTTTTTTTCATTTTTAAGCACTGTTTGACGAAAGATTAATGTTCGTTTCTATCTTATGTCCATTTCTACCAATGTAAATTAACTTTAATCTCGGTTTAACTCACTTTGTTTCTTTTTCCTGTTCTAAGAATTAGAAAATGATAAAGAGTAAGTAAAACCGAGATTAAAGTTAATCTACATTAGTAGAAGCAGATATTAATGTAGATTAACTTTAATCTTAGTTCAACTTCTTATTCGGTCCGTATTCAGAATACGCTTTTATCGATAAATATGTGCTTTTATCTCTAAAATTCTATAATAACGTGAATTATTATGGCTGAATATGCGTTCATGTCGTTATAAACGCGTTGAATACGAGCTTTTATCTTTTTCTAACTCTGATAATTAGAAAAAAATTGAAGAGTGAGTGAAACCAAAATTAAAGTTAAGATGTTTCTTTAGTAAAGCCGAAAATTTGGAATGCTTCACCAAAACCCATTCAAAACAAATATCTGCATAATTTGTATAAAATATTAAAACTACATGTATATCTTAATGAAACTGTTGGAACATACGATAGTAAATCAAGAGCGAGAGTATCTTCATCGAACGAAAACAAGATGGAATTATGTTTATTTTTCGAGGTTAAATTTATATGCAAGTTTATGCACATGTAAATATCTCTCCAGAATGATTGTTGATCTATTAGTTTTTTATGATCATTAAAATCATAATTGAAACTATTATAATCTCGTTTTTAAGAAAAATGTATAGTAAGATTCGTGTGCAGTTAATCAAACATCTGCGAGCCTTATTTGTTATACGTGAAAAGTTATGTACATTCTCAACATTTTTTTTCTCTATATTTATTTCATCATTATCTATCGTAGAATTTTGCCCACAATTTCAATAACATTATACATATATATAAAAAAATTAGACATTTCTATGGTAACTCGATTTACGCAGAACCACTTTCTATATATTGATAGAAACGAACATCAGTTTTAATTCTTACAGTAAGTACAAAAATCCAGTTGTTCGAAATACTTATAACTTATAAGATTTAGATTGAATCATCAACTAATATAATAATTATTAAATTGTTTTTGATGTTATTATGGTACAAGGATCCATTATTATGATACAAGAATTCACATGACGATATCTGCATACTTTATGTTATAAATAGTACAAGACATTCGTCATCTTTTACATTCGCTTTTTTATACCCATATAGAAATTAACGGTATTCATAAAGAGGTTATTCTTGTCTCTTGGAAGCATAAATTTTTACTCTCATGTAGCAATCTGTAATCTCATGTCATCATTTAAAAGCTCTTGAAATTACGTTGCGCATTCTTTTGAAGATTGCAAAACAAGAAATCACGCTTTGACCGATGCGCTTTAGTTATGTATATTTCGTATTGGATTATACGATTATATGGAACGGTATGGCACTTAGGGAAGGAACAATACCTCCGTGACGAAAGCGAGAATATCGCGTTCGCCGCGATCGCGGGATCTTATTGAGACTTGATAAAATCGGTAATCGGAGAATGGCGATAGTATACGGCGTATCGACGTAGGCGGCAGTAGAAATTTTATTTTTTTGCCCGCCGGCGTGCGTACGAATTATCGCCGAGAGGCGCGTGAAATTTCCGAACACGCAACCAGTACGTTGCATCTCCTATTTCGTGCAAACGACGCGTTATCGTGCTCAAACGTAAATTGTCGAAATTTCTTAATCCGCCATACATTGTAGATCAGGTCGATTGGTACGCAATGTTACACGAACACGTCTTTCAGAAATGGAATAAATTGATAGTATATTTCGATCTGAATACAAATCTGTGTATAAGTTTTGATTCGAGAAGGAATACAGTTAGAAATTATTTAAATATCTTTAAAAATT